AACACCAAATGCGCGCTCAACATCTTTTCTAGCCGCCTCTTGGTGCTGAGCAAACAATTTGTGCTTTCGAAGTTGGGGGGAAGTAATTGATTTAACAAATGTAGCCCATGAAGGATATATACCATCAGTGAGGTAATATCCCATATTTCTTTGTTGACCATTCACAACGTAGCTAATTTCTGGTGCACGACCTTCCAAAATATCATCAAAAACAGGAGATTGGTGAAGTACATTGATATCGTTGCACGAACCTGGTGTTCCAAAAAATGCATGCCATATCCATAAGTCATATGATGCAACAACTTCCAAAATAATTGTTGGTTTTCCACTTCTTCCGGCATATTGCCCAGCCCATGCTGTAGGACAATTTTTCCAATCCCAATGCATGCAGTCAATACTTCCCATCATTCCTGGGAATCCACGTTGCTCCCCCACATGAAGGATTCTTGCCAAATCTTGTGCATTAGGCCTTCTGAGGTATTGGCTGCCGAAGTTAGAAATGACGCCTTCTACGAATTTCATGAGAGATTCCCTCGTTACAGCTTCACTTATTCGCAAGTATTCATCAACAGCATCCGCTGATGTTCCATAGGCTAACACCCTTATGGCTGCAGTACATTTCTGCAATGGTGAAATGCCCAGCCTACCAGTGGCATCACGCCTTTGTTGAAAATATTCGTCGTTGGTGGTGATTTCGCTCACTATACGAAGAAAAAGATTCTTACGCATGCGAAATCTCCGACGGAATACCTCTTCAGGATAGGTTGGATTGTCGGAGAAGTAGTCATTGAACACATTCGCCTATCCTCTCTCTCTCGTTGCCTCTCAATGACTTGCCTTCTACCTCTAGAAACGGGATTTGTTGGTTGTAAGACCATATTTGGAATACGAACAATCAAATCTTCCATAATATGATCAAATTGTTGATTTTGTTGAATCACTCGTTCTTCCCGTTCATCAAATTCGATGAAATTGGAAGTTTCAGAACTAGAACTTGAATTTTCAGGTGAGTTTTCAATGGAAGACATTTCTGAACAAGAACGAATTGTCTTACGAAAAAACAAAGTTATAATTGATATAAAGAAAATAGATATGATCTGATTTTGATATCAACTTGATCTGAATCCAACCATATTATATAGGAATGTAGTATGAAGAGTTGGTGTAGATTTAACTTAAAATAAAATTAAAGTAAATGTAAAAGAAAAGTAAAGTAAAGTTAATATAAAGAAAAGTAAAGTAAAGTAAAAGCAAAAGTAAAGTAAAGTAAAAGCAAAAGTAAAGTAAAATAAATAAAAGTTGCATGTGCATTCAATGAATGTAAATTTTATTGAATAAAGCTACTATTTGATCCGGATTCAATGCATGTGAATTTTGGAAGACAAAATAAAGCTGCTATTTGATAGTAACTAGTGTGTGGCCCGTGCGATGCACGGGAAAAAAATATTTATGATTGTATTATAAATTTAATATATAAATAACATTAATCATAATTTATTCATTGTTTTTAAAATTAAACTGGTTTGGACATAGTCCGATCGGATGGACCAAGAATCGGTTTATAACCAGTCTAGTTTGCTTGAATAAAATATTTACTCTCGAATCCGTCAACACCAGTCGGTTGGACTGGTAGGATCAACACGATTTTCTAAATAAATTTTGTTATATTAAAATTATTTTAAATAAAATTACATATTTAAATAAAATAAAGATTTATAAATTATTTATCAGTTAGTTTAAACATTTGAATTTATAAATTGTTTAGATATCTTAGTAACACATTTTATGTAAATTTATTACAAAAGTACTATATATATTAAAATATTTATAAATTAAAATCTGAACAAACCACAAATGATTTAATAAAATAGCTTGATCATTTCGATGACGGGTCAGTTCTGAAACCCTTATATTTATTGTACATTAATAAATATTATAATAAAATATTATTTAATTCACATAAATATTAATAAAATGATGTATAAATATTCTTAAATCATTAAACATGTTGTCATAAAAGGATTGTTAATACGATTATTTGAAATTTTGACTACATAACATTCACGTAATAACATATTTTCAATATAAAATTTATATTAGGTTCAATAATCGATTTGGTGGTGTGGTCGAACTGATACATAACTTAGTAACTTGGGACCAACCTACTTGTGTCAAGTTTTTTGACTATTTTAAATATCACCTAAAAGTAATTCAATCAACATGGGCAGTACCCTAATTCAATCACCCGATTGATCCGAAGAAATTTTCTTATTTTCTTTAAATATATTTAATTTTATGAAATAAAAGTATTTTATGATTCATATAATAAATGTCTACACCAAATGAAGTATATTAAGATTATAAATTATATATCTAAAGATGAATTAATTATTTTTACTTTATGCATATTAATAAAAAATAAACATAGTAATTTTCAAAAAATTAAGATTAATTGATTGGTTATGCAATTTAAAGAATAAAAATAAAAACATACACACTTAATAAATCTTAGCCGGATTTTTTAAATAATAAAATGAACTAAAGCCCGAAATTTAAGGTAGCATTTAATGATGTATGATGTTTAAAGAAAAAAATAAGAAAAGTAATAAAACTTACTATATATAGGCTGCATTAAATTCTGACCTATTTTTTTTGCTACTATTTTAGGTAAACGTTAATTCTTATTATATATATATATATAGATAACTCATACACTATATTCCAAATAGCTCTTGCTCATTCATTTAATAAGTGACTATTATACTAGTAGATAGAACAATCATTAAAGTAACATGTGATTTCTGAAAAAGATTAAAAAAAAAACACTTACTAAATAGACTTTTATTGAATAACTTGAATTACAGGAATTGAAAAGCTTAAATAACTAAAACGACATAAATGAAAGCTGCATGATAATAAATTACATCGACTTTCCAAATAAAATTGAAGTTAAGTGACGTTTCATCTCTTCATCTTCCGGCAATAAGTGGCCTTTTGCCAACAGCGTATTCAACACCATCATATTCATTTTCCTAATCTTCCTTTCTTCTTTCTTGCGTTCCAACTCCATCCTATCGTTCGATATTTTTGTCATTAAATCACATTCGTTCTTTCTTGTAAGTCTTAGTGCACGAATTTCTGCAGTGAACTCATCAGGAATGGAAGAAGATTGTGATGCTACCTTTTTTCCTTTTTTTTCGCCATATCTCTACCTTCGGGACGAGAAATCACAAAATCATCACTAACTGGAGTTTCTTGATTTGAGGGAATTGAATAATCTCCATCTTCAGTAGTCTTTGATCTTTTGGAACTGCCATGGCTTTCTTCATTACTCGTTTCATCTTCAGGGCGCGAACGAGTTGAATCACGATCTAATTTTAATTCCCATTTGGGATGCTTTCGCATGACTTCTTCAAACACATGCAAGTCTGTAAACTTGCTACCACCAGCTTCATAAATTACATGAGCTTCTTTTTCAACATCTTTCATGCTCATTCCGCTTCTTTTATTTCTGTATGCTTCCATGTAAGCACCTCTCCACTTGTTTACATTTTTATTAAGGCGTTTATAACGACCTTTCATTGAATCCAAGTTTCTTTCACCAATTTCTTCTGGATTTTCCATTCGAGCTTGCTCAAACATTTTAGCTATGCGTGACCATAATGAAGAACCCTTCTGATTCTTGCCACACAGTTTGTCTTCGCTAACGAAACACCAAGCTGACATTAGAGCAAGATCTTCCGCCACACTCCAACTAACATTTTTCGTTCCTTTTTGAGGATTTGTGCGTGTCTGTTGCACATTTTGAAATAGATTTCGAGAGATGTTTTGTGGGGGTTGGGCATTTACAGAAACTGGAAATTGGGTAAGATTAGGAGAAAATGGCTCTTGTGAATAATTTTCGAAATTCTGAAAATTTTCAGAGTTTGACAAATTTTGAGAATTGAGGTAATACTCAAAATTTGGATCCATATGGTATTTGTTGGAAATTAAGAGAAATAAAAGAGATGATAAAATTAATAAAGTATGATTAAGAAGAGGGTGAAAAGAGAGAAATTTCAGTTGTGATCTAAAACATATCAAGAGTGGTCTCTATTTATAGAGAATGAAAAAATACGAATTTTGATATTTTTTATTTTTTTTAATATATAAATAAACTCAATTATTAAGTTATCTTATCTTATCACAATAAAATTATGACTTCCAATTAAAAAAAGACATGTGTCCCATGCCTTATCTAACTACCAATAATTGAATTAATAAAATAAAAAATAAAAAAAGAAAGCAACATGCGTCCAAATTCAAGAGCAATAATAGAATAAAAAAAAAATCAAAAAAAAAAGAAAGCAAAAAAATGTGTTGCGCTCGGTTGCGACCCAAGGTCACCATCTGACCTGGGTCGCGTATTATCCCCTCTTTTTCTTTTTTTTTTTATTTTTTTTTTTTGCTTTTTTTTGTCTTTTTCCTGGTGACCCATTGGGTTGGGTCACCGATAAGGTAAGTCTTATAGCATCTCCAATGCTATGAGTTTGAAAGAACATTTGTAATATTAATTCACATTGAAATAATGTTAAAAAACTAAAAATTTGAATAAAACTAATATCTCTAATGCATCAATTTGATAAGAAGTTATTTGTGTAGGTAGACCAATTAAATAATTCATTGATACAAGAAAAATAAAAATTTAAAACAAATATAAACTAAATTGATGAGTCATCATGTTTAACATGGTGTTAGATATTAGAAAGTGTGCTCAACATTGTTAACATTAAATGCCATCTACCTCATCATAAAAGAGTTCATGACAAGATGCATTGGAGAAAAAAATAGTAACACACTTTCAGAATAATGCATCATCTTTTATTAAGGAACAAAAACATTTTAGGTGTATTTTCCACCTATAAATTTTAGCTAGTGCACCTGCTATGCATTGCGATGGTACGTGAAAAAAAATTAATAAATGATATGCAATAAACATAATTATATTATTTTTTATAATTTAGAAAATTTTGGACTAATACTTTACTAGTATCTATGTACTTATATGGATTTTTTAAAAGAAAATATATGCAATAAAATTGAATATATATTATAAATATTTATATCCTTATTGTGAAATTATAAAAATAAATGTACAATAAATAATTAATAACATATAAAGTGATAACTATTTAAAATGCATTACAATTTTAATCCTCAAATTGTCAAATACGATAATTATTTAAATCAATCTTTGAGAATACCCAACCCCCCAGGGACAAGTGATATTCTATAGAGTGATAACTAAATGATTGTTATCATCAAGAAAGTTGGTGACAGTAGTGGGAGAAACAATAACAAATCACGGCGGCCAGGCTACTGGAAATAAGGAGAGGGTCGAGAAACAACAACTTGGGATCTCTAGGGATACCCAACTCAAGGACAAGGAGGACAGTAGGAAAATCTTATATGAGCAAGAGGTCCATAGGGAAAATCAGATGATTTAGCTCACAAGGGCAGAGTTGACAGGACTGTTGCCGAGGCAATGGCTCCAACTCGATGGATCACTAGGACAGATGAACACAAGAGCTCAATAGCCACAAACTTAATGGAGAGCCGAGGATGGTGAAGCCAAATCAGTATCATCACCGAGCATGATGTCCCGACTAGCTAAAGATGCTATTTACCAGAGGTTACTAGCCCAGCTACGGGAGCAACAGGCCTGGGTAGAGAGCACGGTAGCACCCAGAATCCATGGTCATCCGTTCGCCGAGGAGGTGTTTGAACCCAACCTGCCGAATAATTTTCGCGAGGTGGACCTGTCTTACTATGCCTCGGCAGATCCAACTAGACATTTAAGGAGATTTGAGAACATAGTAATATTACATTGCCACAATGACGCGATCTGCTGTAGAGCTTTCCTAACTATCCTTAAGGGGTAGGCACAAGATGGTTTCACCAATTGTTGGCCGAATCGATATACAATTTTGAGAAGTTGAGTTAGCAGTTAATCAACCAGTTATCTCAACACGAGGAAACATAGGACGACCTACCTGACTTTGATATGTGCAGTAGAAGGAGGGGGAGACCCTCCACCAGTACTTAACCCGTTATACTAGAGAATGTGTAGACGTCAAAAGAGATTCATGAGGGAATTCTGACAAGGGGTCTCCGACCACAAGCATGTGGGAACTCCCTCGCCAAGAGGCCGGCAATGTCTTTTGATGAGACGTTGGCTCGTCTCGCAAAATATATCAACATGAAGGAGACAGAGGCTGATTTTCTAAAAAACGATAAGGCCAAAGCTAAGAAAACTGAGGAAAAGCCTCTCTGAGATGACAAGTGGTCTTCAATTCAGGACTAAAGGGCAGAGGAACGCGACAAGGTGTGGTACAAGTATGGAAAGTATGCGGCCTTGGCAGTAGTCCAAAAAGAAGTGTTCAAGGTCCTCGAGAAGCATGTGGATACGGGCATACTTGTTGGGATATATGAGGATCTCGTTATGTAAAAATCAAGAATGCAATAGCAAACGTAACTCTATGCGCAGCGGATCTAAAGGTTTGACGTATAAAACTTACGGCTTAAAATTTTCTGATTCTGACGGATTCTGGATGACCGGGAACAGCACACGAACGAAACTAGATCACAAACGAAAGCGGGTCAGCTCGTGTGGATCGCGATCGGCGTGTTCTGTTGGGTCGCATCACCAGGGTCGTGTCGTGTGTCGCGGGTCGCCGGTCGTGTGAGCTCCTCACGGCGGCGACTGGTTGCGGCGGGGCTGGGCTCGTCGCGATCGGCTTTTGCAGTGGAAGATCACCGGGTCTCGATTACCTATGGATCTTCTACTGTATTACTCAAACACCCTTCTTCAACTTATACCAGTGGAGCAACAAGAAGAAGATAAAGTTCGAATGAGAACTGAGAGAGAGAGAGAGGCGCCGTGTATTTCACATGAGTCTAGCAATTCTATTATGTTCTCATGAGCTTAATGATGTATATATAGAGCTACAGTAGGGACCCTTAGGAGATTATGAATAAGGCTCCTTAATTAATTAGACTAACTGTGGGCAAAACCTACTCCACTAATTATTAAATAATATTATGGTCCACCAACATAAATATTATTGAACTCCCTTTTTCTAGCTCAAATTACATTTGAGACCCAATTATAATTACTCAATTTACCTCCCCACGTTTAAGATATAATGTCCATTAAATAATTTAATTACTAACAATTAAGAATGAATTAATTTATTATTATTTCACCGAAGCTAGCGCTCGTTCATCACATTCTTATTATGCCGGAACTTAATCCACGTGCATGGTTTAACATAACAATCCTTCATAAACTCACTTCGGGGACATCATCAAACTAACGTATATAGTGACCATAAATATCCTAACAACACATACTATATAGAGTAATATTACCCAAGACAGTAGGAATATTAATCCAACGAACTGAACCTCACCCAAGTGAATCAAAGTAATATATACTACATATATATGCCTGTTTAATATCTTACGGGTTAAGAGAATGCAGTAATTAACTGAAGCCTAGTTCGTTTACGACGATCAGTATAAAACGAACTTCTCCTCTCTGGGATCATGTCCAATACATAAATGTACTAGTGCAACTAATCAATTAAGACAAACTGTACAGTTGACACTACAAACGTTCGGATGGGGTGTTCATGTCCATCTAGGTTGTGAACCACATTTCTTGTTTCGAAAGTAAATGATAGAATGATCTCTTCGATTCGCCCGATTACGACCCACTCTATCTAAGCGAAAAACAGAAGAACATAGAACTTGTTTAATCTAACATGACTCTCATTCATAAAGGGCAAAAGTGTAATAATATCCAAAGTCAAACTTTCAATATATAACACTAACAATATTTTCCCGACCTACCCAAATCCCCGAGACGCGAGGGTATGTTCCCTCTCGGAGCTACCCATATTGTAGGTACCATAGGGATAATGGTCACTCTACTAATAGCTACCGAGAGTTGATGTACGATATCTAACGGCAGATCTGAGCCAGGCATCTCAAAGAGTTCGTGTTAAAGGACAAATAAAATTAGAAGATTAAGATGGGACAGAGAAGAGGCGACAAAATTGAGCTTGAGTAGGGTTTCATCTTCTACCAAGGTGACGGAGGCCGTGGCCTTGTAGGGAAACGACGTCGTGATGTTGACGGAGAGGGTCGATGGAGGCGGGGGAGAGTTTTAGGTTTTTTTTTAAAAAAAAAATTATATAAACCTTGGGGCTTTTCTACAATTTTAGAAGTTTTAATATATTTCACTTCAGATCATGGGTAAACTTGCATAATATTGCACAATAATAGTACATAAATTACGCAATATTGGATGAGGACATGCACATTAAAAAACTCGTCATATTATTACAAAATTTTAGAATTGTCGTCTCCTACACATTTAAAAGCTCACAACTTTACCAAAATTTTTCTGCGCATAGATGTTCATCGATCGGTTCAGTCGAATNTATTTTAATATTTTTATTTGATATTATTACTTTATTTTTGGATGAAAAAACATAATATATAAATAAAATATAAAAAAATAATATTTTTATATAGTTTTGTCGGTTTGGTTATTTTATTAACAAATCCCAAATCGAACCGAAATTTTGAAAGTAAAAATCGATTGTCGAATCGACATATAAAGAATTGAACTAACAATTTTATTTATTTCGAATCGACATATAAAGTAAAAATCATTCACTTCTCCATTGACAAGTGTTGCATCGAGGCCGAAGAGATACATGTAAAACTCCCCTAACAATGTTATCCAGAAATCCCGATATTTTCCGTGTAATAACAATGATGTCCCACCTTAAGCAATCATACGCCTTTTCCAGATCTACCTTAACGACCATATAACCCACCTTCTTTTCTTCCTTCTCATGCTGTGGAGAAACTCCTGAGCCACCACAATGTTGTCAGAAATTTGGCGTCCAGGGATGAAGCTAGATTGTGTTGTACCTATTATGCCTGGCAGAATAGGTTTTACTCGATTTGCCAACACTTTAGTTGTTAACTTGTAGGCGACGTTTAATAGGCTTATTGTGCGAAAATTCTTTAACTCTTGAGGGGCATTCACCTTCGGGACAAGCACAGTAGTGTCTCGTTTATCCCCTTCGGCATGACACCCTCGTGTAAAATCTGGCGGAGTAAGTCACACACTGACTGGCCTACTTTTGGTCATTGTTGCTGGAAGAAAATGGCATGTAAGTCATCCACTCCCGAGGTCTTTAACGGTGGCATCTCGTTAAGCGCCTTGTGAATCTCATGGTCTAATATCTCTCGTCGCTACACGATTTGTTGTCTAGACCCAATCTGCGGGAATAGGTTTGGCCAAACCAAACTCGAAGCTTGCGGTGAAATGTCCGCATAAATTTTCTTGAAAAAATTTTCCGCGATCTTCTTCAGTTGGGCCTGATCTGCACAAAACCACCATCCTTATCTTGTAAAAAAAGGATCCAATTTTTCCTTCTTTGGGTCTTAATCTGGCGTTGAAAAAAGGTCGTATTCTGATCGTCGAATAATGTCCTCTCTCGCTGGGACTTTGGAATTAAAAGTATTTCCTCCTCGACCATGACATCTTCTAATTCTTTTCTTAGTTCTGCCTTCAGCCTCTCGTGTTTTGAAGAATAATACTTCTGTAGGCAACGCTGAATTCCAGCAAGTCGAGCCATTAGCTCCCTCTTCCGCTTGAAAATAGTACCAAACTCATTCATGTTCCATGACTTCGCATTTATGGTAAAATCATGTACTGCCTCCAAGAAAGGTTTCCCGTTCATCCATACTTCATTCATGAGATTCTTAAAATCATCATACAACAACCGTGAAGCTAAAAAGCGAAACGGTTTTTCTTGCTGGTTCTTATTCTTAACATCGTTCACCCGAATTAAAAGAGGAAGGTGATCTGACTCCATCCTCACAAGATGCCGTATAATGCCATTGGAGTATTTGTCCATCCAAAGCTCATTACTAACAGAACGGCCCAGTTTCTCTG